TCAGTATCCCTTGCTGGTTTTTCTTCTTTTTTTGTAACATGAAATATCAGAGGGCTCAGTCCTCAATTCTCTTTTTGCTCCACTTTCTCTTTGGTGATCTCATACAATCTCATGGCTTTAAAAGCCAAATATGTCAACAACTTCCAATTTTGTATCTCCAATAGACTTTGTCCCAAATTTCAGACCTGAATAGCCAACTGCCTATTCAACATCTTCATATGGATGTCTAAGAGACATCTCAATCTAAACATGTCTTCCCCCACAAACCTGCTCCTCTACAGTTTCTGCATTTCAGATGACACAACTTTATACTTCTACTTACTGTTGTACCACCATGACCACATAGTTTAGTATATTGGGTTGTTGGAAAAGTCATGATGCATTTTTGCAATGAAAAAGAGAAAAAATACGTCATGAGTTTTCCGACAACCCAATAGATACAAGAATTGACCCGTGGATCTAAGAGTGAGACTATCAATTCTATTCATTGATCCAAATATATGAGGAACTTACTATGTGACAAAGTTGGTATTTTAATTAAGTGGGGGGAGAGATAGCATAACTGGCTATCTATCTGAAAGAAAGCAAAGCTAGACTCTTGCTAAAATAAATTTTGAATGGATTAAAAATTGAAATTCAGATTAAAAATAGAAGCATTAGAAGAAAATTTAGGAAAACATTTGCATAACCTTACTTTTACTCTTGCCCCCCTTAGTACATTCCCAACATCTTCTCCTTCATTCCATTCAGCCACACTGGCCTCCTTGCTGTTCTTTGGACCTGCCAAACTCACCCCTGCTTTGAGCTGGCTGTCTCCTCAATTTGCAATGTGCTTTTCTCAGATACCAGGGCAAGGTTCTTGCAAGTCTCTAGTTAGAACATTTTCATCCACCAATCAATGCATAACCTGCTTTTATGTGTGTTTCTGTTTAAAGATACCTTATTTCATGCACATTGTTGATTCATTCACATTGAACTCATGGGCCACAGCCTACAACTCATTCTTGAATGAAGTTTGCCTGACACACGTGTTTTCTTGTTAAGGCACATCACAGCCTTCTTGCCCTTAGGAACACAGACACCATTTCAGCACGCTGTTGGGGGCCATTTGAAATAGTGAAATCACCAAAACAAAAAGCACAAAAAATGTAGAAAACATGGCACAACACAGACTGACAAGTGCATGTGTTTACGGTATGAGAGCTGAAACAAGGCAGAGCCTCTCAGTTCAGCCTCTGCTGTGCATCAGGCAACTCAGTTTTTCTGCTGCTCTGTGCATGTTTGCAAATGACTGAGACAGCATTTGGCGAGTAGTGGTTTTGGGGGTTACAAATACATTTTCATGTGTGGGTGAATTCATAAATACGGACTCTGCAAACAATGAGGATTAACTGTATTAATTTTTGGAGCATATAAGTTCTTATTCTAGTGTCTAGTGTCTTCTCTTTTAGGAATTTGGTACGTTTCTCCTTTTCTTCAGGTTTTGTTTTCTATACTCAGTGAAATATTAGTTTTCTTTATATGGGTCTTGTATCTTTTATTCTTAAGCATTTTCCCCTAGTTTCTTTTTAAAATAATTTTTACAGATATTGTAAATGGGATTTTAATGAAATTTCTAGCTGACTATTGCTAGTATAGTGAAAAGCTATTAATTTGTGCGTATGTATTTTATTTTCTACCACTAAAAGCCTATTAGTTCTAGTAGTTTTTGCTAGAGTTACATTCTTGGGGATTAATTCCCTATCATATTAACTTTCTTGGGGATTCAAAATCATATTAGCTGCAATTAGTAGCTGCAAATTGTCTATTCTTTTCCACCGTTATTTTTTGTTTTTTGGGGTTTTTTTTAGCTGAGCCATCCTGCCTCCTTTTGGCAGCTCAGCAGCAGCTCAGCTTGGGCTGGGAATCAAACCGTGACCCTGTTGCTCAGAGCTCGCACTCTTGAACGAGTTCTTAACCAACTGAGCCAATAGGCTGGCCCTCTTTTCCACTGTTTTAATTTTCTTTTTTATTATGTTTGCAAGAATGTCCCAAAATATTTAATAACATTAAAGTGGTGGTATTTGGCACCTAGCTTTTGATTATGTTTTTGTAGGTGAAAATATTCTCAGTGTAAACTACTATATTATACGGAAAGTAAGCGAATCCATATCAAGAGGAAGAAAGCTTATTACCATAAAGAATATTTGCTGAATCAATGAATGAATTCAATATTATCACTTGACAAACCATTAAGCTCTTAGGAGATGGTCAGTACTAGCATGTCAGCTTAATAGATATCGAAGATGTGTTTTTGCCTATTGTCATGTTGTAAAATAGTAATAGTCCACATTCATTTCTCCTTCATCAGCCATCAATCAGAATTTCTGAACTCATAAATATCTAGGCTAACCTGGAAATTATTTCATAAGCATTCTACTTCGGGGAACAACTCTATTATACTCGGGTGGACAGAGTAGTTTAAGAACCTTTAGCTTTACACAGAGCTGCAGTTCCCTTTCCTCTTCTTATCCTCCCAAATACCACTCTGGGAGCAGAAAGGACAGGTTATCCCTATTATCAGGTAAAGAAACTGAGTCATAGAGATGCAAAGTGACATCCCCAAGGCCCCATGTGCAGTTGGCTGAGGACAAGGCTTCTGTGTGTCTCTGTCCCAGCCTCAATCAAACGTCACCACCTTCTTTCAACACTGTAATTACTCCTGTGACAATTTTTCATGCTCCATTCTAACAGAGTTCATGACCTACTTTATCTATCTACCCATCAACAGCTTTATCACGCATCCATCCATCCATTTTGTTATTCAGTTAGCCAGTTATTCAACAAACATTTATTGAACATTTATCATATTTAGACATCATTATAGATTCTAGCAATACAACTGAAAGCAATAAAAGGTCCCCTGCCCACACCGGAGTTTACATTATAGCAAAGAAAGAAAACAAAACCCATAATAATCAGAGTAACAAATATAGGTTGTCAGATGCTGATGAAGTGCTTTAAAGAAAACTGAAGCAAGGGAAGAAGATTGGGAGTCCCAGAGTGGGGACAGGGGCAGAAATTTCAAATGGGTGGTCAGAAAAGGCCTCAAGAATGCAACGCCATTTGAGCAAAGACCCTTTGCAGGTCTGTAGGACATGAAGAGTCAAAACATTTCAGGGAGGTGGTCTAGGGGTCCCAGATCTTTAAAGTAAAGGTGTAAGTCTTAAGAGAAGGGTATTTGGCTTAGTCTTATGGGGGAAAGGGGAAGAATTAGGGCTGGAGCACAGAAAATGTAGGTGGTGAAGGAGATGAAACTGGAGAGGTTACCAGGGTGGTCCAAATATATAGGACTTTTCTAATTCATGTTACAACTTTGAGCCTTTAGCTTAAAAACAATGGGAAGATAACAGAGGGACTTAAAGCAGGGGAGTCTGGGGGAGAGGAGCAATGTCATCATATTTCTGTTTTTAAAAGATCAGTCAGGTTTCAGTGGCCAAAAGAAATACAAGTAAGAGTACGGATCTTTGTGTTCTAACTATAAGAAGGTAGGCGTTTAAAGAAGACCTCAAGTATTCAATAAACCCGGATGACTAAACGACATATTTTATTGTTAACCTTGCTAGGGAAAGGCAAAATAAATGTCTTGAAGAAGACGGATGAGTTAGAACCTGATATCTTTGCTTTGGTTTTTAAACTCAAATTCTTTGTACTATATTAAAGATATACATCAAGATGATGCCGAAATTCTCTCACTTTAAGGATGTATTGATAACAGCCTGATAAAGTGACATAGGCATAATGAAGGGCATCTAGTTGCAAAGTCAATACGTATTTTTTTTTCTTTGAAGAGCCAAAACAATATATTTAAATCACACCAAATTGTAAAGTGACCAAATAACCACAGAAATAGCGTCTGGGATCGAAATGGAAATATGATGGTGTATGTCTGAGAACAGATTAGAGAATTACAAAATAAACGAATACCAATTTAAACTGATCTCTTCTTCCACTCCCAGTACATAAAATGAAAGTAACTAAATAATTCTTTTGTTTTTTTTTCTCCCAAAAGTTTGAGGGTAATAAACCCAAGGGAACAGTATCTCTTTTCCTTTACTTGCTGCAATTTTAAATTATGAAGAAGTAGTTACTTCAAAAATTAAGGTTGAAGATGTTTTAAAAGTCATCTTTAGGTTGGTGATCAGGTTTGTGATGAGTGAGCTCATACACTCGTAGGGGTGGGGTGTGTTTTGGGATGTCCTTGGAGCACGATTTGGCATTCTGAATTTTGAGGGTTACGAAAATTCACAACTCTTGACCCAATAATTTACTTGAGTAAATTTATCTAAAAACAATGTTAAAAATACAGGAAGACACATGTTTAGGGATGTTGACAACAGAAGTTAGGGGGACAAAATTTGAAAATAACAAAAATGTTAAGGGATTGCTTGTGAATTATGGCACTTCCGTGTAAGGATGAGAGTGAGGCCATTAAAAATGACGTTTTGGAAACTAATGACATAAGAAATGCTCTCCATTTAATGTAAGTGAAAAGAAGAATGAAAAATTGTATCTACAGCATAATTACTGTTTTGGAATTTAACGTGAATAGCGCTAATCTGTGAGTGAAGGGATAATGACTTTCTTTTTGTTTCTTCTCTTTTCTTTTAATGAAGGATTAATTCTGAATTAGGCTTTCCAGAGCAAACCAACAAAAAAGTAGGAATATAAAACTATTATTCAAATACTCTAATTTTAAAAATCTTCTGTGTCTGTCTGATGTCTTTAGTTGGAATAATTCTAAATGATTGAATGAGCCACTTGAAGACATTTTGCCTCTTGTTCAACTTTACAGTTAAAGGTCATTTCTGGAGGAGAAAGCATCCTGATCCCTTCCCAATCTCCCCTCACCCCACCTCCTGCCTTCTTTAGGATCATCTGCATTATGGAAGCTGCTGCCTGTGCTCTGTATCCAGGCCCCGCCCTGCCACTCCACAGGACGGTCACTCACAGACACTCACCTGGCCTGTGCACGGTCAGCCATGTCCTTTGGATTCACCTGGTCCAGCAGCCACTGGCTTCTCGCAGCTTCGTTCCTCCTCCGCCCTTGGAGCAGGTTGTTTCTGACGGTCCTGAGGAGGAGTTTTGTGTTCTCCTTTGCTGACATCTCCTGGAATGGCCAACATTACCAAGGGTATCAGATCACTTCCAACAGGGTCTTCTCTTTTTATTGGGCGGGCTGGCCGCCATGAAAGTTCCTGGAATTAGTTCACTTATGTTTATGTCCTCAGAAAAATCATCTTACTTCCTTACTACTGGAATGTCTTCACATGCTCTCCGGCTACAGGTACCCATAGCATAAGTTTCCAAATTCAACACCTCCAACTTCTACAATATCTCTTCTTCCTTAGAGCGACCTAGGAATGTGGAATTTTAAAGCTATTGGGTTGCCGGAAAATTCAAGACATATTTTTTATGTTTTTCATTGCAAAAATGCATCATGATTTTCCCCACAACCCAATAGAAGCGGGGATGAAGAAGGACTAAGTCCATGGTTGCGGATTCCTTTGAGAAGTGGGTGATCACCCATGGATTTATCTCCAGAAAAAAAATGATCATCCATTTAATTCAGTATAAAATTTCAGTGGCTACACAGACCACCTGAAGTCCACCAATCAACTCCACATTAAGAACCTCTGCCAAAAGGAACAAAGAAGAAATGAGATGGTTTATTCAGGTTTTCAGCACTTGAAATCTCAAGTGTAACAACAAAGTGACCACACGGTGTCAGTCTAACATTGATAAACCCTATTTCTTCCCTGGTTTTTACACTAGAAACAGGAAGCTCACAGGCCAAGGAACCTGAGGATCTGGGTGAATGAAGTTTAGTAAACTAATGCCCACTGTGAATTATTTGGCAAGAACCAGGCACTTGACTTTGGTGGACCATTTGTGTTAAAGGGGAGAACAGGGAGAACTGTCCCCTGTAAAGCTAATTAATCAACGCCCTTCACTATTGTGGTATTTGAAGGTGATGTCACCTGTATAGAAAACTGATACATAGGAACTTTGTGATGAGGAGAAAGTGTTTTTTCTGAAAGATTGTAAATTCTCTTTGTTTAAAATTTACTATGCCAGCTCTCTTCTTAAAAAGATCTGAACTCTCTCACTGAGTATTTACATTTTTCTTAAGAAAAAGAACATTTGAAAGGCAGCTGTGAAGTCTTAGTTTTCTACTCTTTTGGTCAAGACTAAGATAGTACTCTTTCATTTTTCCTAAAGAAAAAGTACTTGATGTTTAGGGCTCAGAAAAAGACATGTTGAGAAAGAAAAGGTCTCCCCAAATGTACTGGCCACTGAAACCTTTTGGGGTCATTTTTAACCAAACCAGAGCCTTTTCTTTTTAATCCATGCCCATTTCCAATGCCTCACACCTCTTACACCTGAGATGTTTTCTAGTACACGGTATGGGATCGATGATTTGACTCTGGCCTTTTCCTGTCCCCAAAACTTTTTATTAAAATCTACAATGTAAAGAAAACATATTTCTATTGAGAGATATTTAAGGGTGAATTCGCCACCTCCTTAATCTTCAATATTATATCAGTTGGTTAAGAATTTGAGCTCTGAGCAACAGCGGTTTGATGCCCGGCCCAAGCTGAGCTGTCGCTGAGCTGCCAACAGGTGGCAGGATGGCTCAGCTAAAAAAAAAAAAATTCAATATTATAATGTACGAAAAGAGCAGAATCTGTGGTTTTGTGGAGGAAAAGTGTTTAAACTGCTGCAGCTTATACTGATACCATTCATGAATAGTATGGTATGTTGGGTTAGATCTTACCTGGACGCAGTGCTCAGTCAGGGGATGAGACTTCTGGTGGGATTTGCTGTGAAGACCAGATAAGAAACACACCTGGCAGATGTCAAAGTTGAGGCACTTCAGACAGCGGTATCTGTCAGTTAAAATGGAAGTGCGGCTGACATCACTACTAGTAGGCTAGCAAGGAAAACAATATTCAGGTGGAGAATGAGCACCCCAAAATACACAGGAGATGTCTGAGCTATCAGGTGAGTAAAACGTTTCTCCCAAACTTTGTAGGGGTAATAAATGACTCTGATGTGTTTATTTAATCAAAGAAATCTTCTTTTGATAGTATTTTTATAATATGGCGTTACTTGAATATAGTTTTATCCAACAAACTATGGCATAGAAGTCTTATTCATTCCTCCCTCACCCCCCAAAATACCAAGCACTTATATACATGCAGGGTACCGAGTACTACAACCCTTAAGACAGACCCTTATGTCTGCAGCCACGTTTTGTGTTGCTGCACAATGCATTAAAATATTTTGAATTTAGTTGCCAAATTTTTTTAACATGGGAGATTTCAATAAAGTTTGAATTTTGATTTCACTTAAAAATTTGCAAGATATGGTATTGGACCTGTATTCCTGCATGGTGTTTGGGGAAATGAATAAAGCCATAGATAAAGAATTTAAAATAAACTTTTGTCATTTTCTAGAAGTCTGTAGGAAAGACAAAAAGTGGAGGAGGGGGGGTCCCTCTCCAGCCAAAGTGTTGGGGAGTGACCACTACACCCAAGTTTCTTAACACACCAGCGTTGCAAGCTTCCTTTTTTAAAAAATTTAATTTTTAATTTTTTAAAAATTAGTTTTAGGTGTACAAAACAACGTAATAGTTATATGTTTCATCCCTCACTAAGTGACAACCTCCCTCCCCGAATCTATGGCCCCTCTGACATCGTATATAACTGTTATAATTCCATTGATTCTATTCCCTAAACTAGCAAGCTTCCTTTTATGAACAGTTACAACCTAAATGTCTTGTTGTCAGAGGAAAAGAAAGAATCTCGAGACACTCTGGCAGGGAAGAGTGTCCCATACACTAAAGGACTATTGCGATATCAGGGGAGGGTTGGTGAGGCCTCACAGTCATGAATGAATAAGTTTTAAGGATATTGGAGTGGGATGATATTGTTTTTCTGGAAAAGATCAGAGATCTATACTCTTTTTCTGATATTTTAATTCTCTTCTCCAGTTGCAATGTGAGTGTGACATAAAGCTCTGTCTTCTTCATTAATGGTGAGCACAAAGTGGCGCCCACTCCTTTCAGACTGGAGATGCACTCTTCAACGTGCCACAGCCCCGACCCAGCCCACCTCCCTCTCTTACACAACACTTCCCTTGCCCCTGTAAGCTTTCAGTTTTCAATTCCTTTTTAAATGTTACCAAAAAAGAAAAAGAAGAAAGAAAAGAAAAGAAGGAAAGGAAAGAAAGAAAGAAAGAAAGAAAGAAAGAAAGAAAGAAAGAAAGAAAGAAAGAAAGAAAGAAAGAAAGAAAGATGACAAGATCCCTGTGCTCTTCAAATCTTGTATCTTGCTGCAGAGAGATGATATGGAAGCTTGAGGTACTAACTAGCAAAGATAGGTAACACGTGATTATGTGTCAAATGAAAGGCATAGAAAACAAGTGTTATAAGGGGGAAACAGAGGGAGATCCCTGGGGTTGGTATCGTTTGAAAAGTTTTCATGGAAGACCTGAGACTCATGCTGTGTGTAGAATGCTGTGCTGAAGGAAATTAGAGTGCAAGAAATCCCAGCTAGAAAGCAGAGGAGTAAGGGAATGGAGGCTAGAGTGAAGAAGGGTTTGGAGCAAGTCAAATCTATCAGCTGATTACTCTGAAGAACAGAGGTAGAAACTTGGAATGCCCCTGAAGCCAGATGCCAGAAGGTCTTGAAAGTCTGACCAAAGTTTGAAGACGGAGCAGGAGAATGTTAAGTGCCATGAGACCAACCCTCACTGTCCTTGTTGTTCGCTGCTGTACCGTGACGTGACGCCTAGTCCCATGGTAAGATATTAATAAATAGTGTTGAATGACTATAACAGTAGCTGACATTTTTGGCCACCTACTATGTAGCAGGCAGTGTGCATGTGTTGACACAGTTAATGCCCATGGAACGTCTTTAAGGAAAGGTATTACTATTACTCTCATTTTACAGATGAAGAAGCCGAGTCAGAGTTAAAGCAACTTGCACAGAGTTACCCAACTACTTGGTAATTAGTAGAAGCAGGCGGTTATCCCACCGATGCCATCTGGATGGAGAGCCAGCCATTTTAACCACTGTAAGAGACCACTAAGGCAGGAGGCTTGAGTTTGAATTTACACACCACCAGTACTAGTGATCTGGAAATGGAAACTTAAGCTCACTGTTTTGGAAGATACCTGGTCCCTGGTAGGTTTTCAATGAACAATTAGTTGTATGACGTTAAATGAATGGCTTAGTTTCTTCGCTAGGAAAATGGGACTAGTAAACCCTGCCCTCTCAGCCTTGCCAAGTTTTCATAAAGCTTTGAAAATTATTAACATGCATAACTGAGATGCACTTTTTGCATGAACTGTAAAATATAGTAAAGTACTTTTATAAGGATTATCTGATAAGCTGCCCAGACTGAGTGCCGTACCCCGCATTACTGTATGGCTGCAGTTGAGTCGTCTAGGACAATATGTTGACCCTAACCTTGTATTAGCTCCTCTGTGCTCTGAAGCTACCTACAGGTGTATGAGAAAGAGTGTAGTGTGGATAATGAGGCTGGTCTGTTGTTGGTGCCTTTATCAACAGAGAACCAAGTTTTTCCTCCCATCTCATCTCAACCCTAAACGGCTTTGACAGAGCATAAACATGACATGACCTGCTAAAATTGAACGCTTGGCTTGGGAACGGTCTCTGGTTTTTCTACCTTCTCTTACCTTAGAAGGTAAAGCTTTTGCCTTCTTCCTGCTACCGCCATACCTGTGAACACTTCTGCTCTAAAATGGCTTTATTAATCTCACGAACACTAAGAGCCTATTGCTGGAGTTTACGAGAGCCAAAACACAGGTCTAAGGTTAGGATTGCAATTACATTCAAGCAATTTGTAACAGATTCAGAAGGTTACAGCTAAAAGAAACCTAAGACATCATTAGAACGACCCCTCCTTATTTTACTTACACAGAAACTGAGGCCCAGAGAGGTTTGAGGCTTTGCCCAGCTCACCCATCTATCGCACATACAGGCATGAGAATTGTACATTGCCTTGGGTGTCGAGGAGAAAAGATGCTTCATGTAGAAGCGTTTCTAAGAGGAATCTTAACCTTATTCTTAATATATAAGGACATAACCTAAAACTTAAAGTATGGCACGGCTTGTTTTCTGCCTCTGCTATGTTTTTGAGCGACCCAAACAGGTCTTTCAAACTCTTGGAAACTCCTTCATAAGATAAGAATAACAATAGCTGCTTTATGTTATACATAATGATTTTGACAAAATATGTCAATGGAAAAGATGTGTTTCATGTAATTGCAAAGTGAGTTCTGTACCTGGCCCAGTGGGGGACATGTAGTAACTGCCTAATTAATATTTGCTTATTGGTTAAATGATTATAATATGCATGTAATAGGATAAATTATATTCACGTTCCTCCACTGCCCAATATAAAAAGTGTTTATTTTTCATTGTAGTGTAGAGATGTCTTTGGTTTGGCTTGCTTGGTTTTCAACATTCCTGCTCATTGATATGTTTTATTGTTTCAAGCTCACATGCAAAGAGTTTTTCATGAGTGAAGAAGTCTCACTGTGTCCTCAGAATTCTTTGCAAACATAATTTATTTTCTCAGCAAAGTTAAAACTTGATTTCCAGGTTTTTCGTGGACCCAGCAGCCCTATTTTACATCTGTGGGGAGCATGTTTAAGGTCTGGGACTAGCCAAGATTTGGAAGTACAGGAAGGGAAGAGGAACAGAGGCACCGGGAACCAGGCCCTGAGTCCTCACTCCTGCCCCTTCTGGGTATCACCTCCTTTGGCTTGTTTTTAGCTATGTCAGGGTCCAGAGTGAGTCTCCCCAGAATGTGCCACCCTGGCATGCAGATTATTTTGAGCTGAAAACAATGAAAGCTCAAGAAGAGGTGCTTTGTTTTGTTTTTTACCTTTCCCTCACCTAAAGGAATTCAGATGGAAAAATCTGCCTCAGCAAGGGACCCTTAGCACGGTCGCCTTGGCATAAGTGAACTAAGTATGGCAGACAGGGAACATCCAATCAAGTCTGTTTGTTAGATTCCCCTCTGTGTCCCATTGTTTCTGGGTGGCCAAGTGTTTGTTCACATGTTTGCTTTTTCTCATGTGCCTGTGAATAGCATACACTTTTCTTTTGAAATCCCCAACCCCTGTCTTGGTCCAGAAGGTAGATAAGCCTCAACTGCTAGGTCTCATACTCTTAAGGAACCCCCATCTGTATATACAGAGGGTACCCAAAAAATGTATACACATTTTAAGAAAGGAAAAACCTGTATTAAAATCGCAATCCTCCATATACACCAATAACAAAAGATGAATACAAGTCCTGTGTATACATATTTTGGCAGCCTCAGTATATGTTATAAATTTGGTCATTTTCTCCTGTTCATCTGTCTCCTGTTATCAGTCTAGCCAGAAAAATGTAGACAGGCAGAAGGAAAATAATTTTCCTGCTCCCGTAGCTACCCGGTGGTCCGGGCTCTTCAGTCCTACCGCATCTCCAGCCCCTGCTCCTGTGGTCACTCCCGTGATGATGACGTGCCCCGTGCCTGGCCTACACCTGTTGGTTTCCTGTTATTCTCCCAGGTCTTTAATAATAACACTCATTTCACTTCCTTATTATTTTATTTATGGGAGACCTACAACATCCTTTCCCTAAGATGGGATTTTGACCGTCATCCTCAAAGCTGTGGAAAGATCTGAATTTCCTATCTCCAAACTTAGCTTTCAAATATGCATTTACCAGAGGCAGAAAGATCTGGTGAGAGCTACTCCCACAAAACCGGATTGTTCCTTTGGATCCAAGGAATGTTCTCAATTGTCTGCACAGGGGGGCAGTATAGCAACATGATTGCAAAGCAGGGACTCTAGATTCAGATTGCCAGCATCTACCACTTGCTAACCATGTGTACCTAACCAAGTTATTTAGCTCCTCTGCAAATTAGGGATCATAATATCACATTTTGTATAAAGTTATAACCAGTTTTAAATTAAATGATCCGTGTGAACCACACAGCCTAACAGTTGTGTAACACTTAATAAATGCAAACTATTATTATTGTTACTATTATTGATGGCTTCAAAGTATTTAAGTTTTTTGTTTTGTAGTAACAAAAGACAAACTTCTTCCTTTAAATGAATAAAAATGTCTTCTGGTCAGACGATATGATAATGGAAGAATTTAATATTCTATTAATTATAGAAAATAAAATACAATTTATCATCAACCAGGATCCCTCATGCAGGAAATTATCGACCCTAAAAAAAAATCAACTGAGTTCCAGATGTGTGAGAAGGGCTGCAAAAAGGATCTGGAGAGACACAGCACCCATCCTAGACCCATCTGGAGAATGACTGTCCATGGAATACTGATGAGTGACTCTACCTCAGTCCTGTGATTGGGAAATTCCTGCAGATTCTACACCGGACGGGGTGAGTAACCATTTCGGTGGCTGACAATCGGTAGCAGGTTGGGAGCCAGAGGAGGATGGTAGGCTCAGACTGTAACCAAGATAGGAATTTCTCTTCCTTGATTGCTGGGCTCAACACCTGGAAAACAATGGCACACTTTGATGTGTTTCTAGAAAGGACATGGGTCTCTAGTACAGATGAAAATGTATTTTTCTCTTCTTTCCTGGCTCGGTGTCTGTCAGGTCTGCTGAAAAAGTTCATCCCATGAAAAGTCAGAGTCGAGTCTGCCTTCTCAGTTAGGTTGTCTGGGATGCTGTGTGGAGTACAGGTCTGTAATTTAAGTCAGTCAGCAAACATGTCTGCCCCCAACTCCCGGAGACATCTGCCCAGCACTCACCCCTTGGAAGCAGCTGCGTGTAGCACTTTCCACAGAGCACAGGGCACGACTCTCTCCCACGACAGTTGGGATCTATAAGAGGCAAGAATTCCACATCAGCTGTTAGAAATGGAGAAATATGTGGACATGGACATCAGCATGCCTGAGCGGCGGTGCTGATAGCTGTGGAGTTACAAGGATTTGGTGTCTGAGACTGGATGAACTGCCTCAATCCAAGCAAACAGGAAATTTGTGGGTTCTGTGCAATGTATGATGAGAGACAATTGACGAACAAGTGGGGAAAAGTGGCGCTTTGGGGGCAATACAGGATGGCTTCTATTGCTTCTTATGATCCCAGTCAAATTATTTTAACCTTTCGTTGCCCTTGGTTACCTATGAATTACATATAACAATGTTACTATATTAAAGGTCATGTTAGTTTTAAGAAAAACCTTTCCAAACACTTTCACATCATCTCATTTTAACGAACATCAATTTCTGATGTAGAGCGGTAATCCTTTTCCTTGTTTAAAGCAAGGGGTGATTGAAATTTGACATTGTGCTCAAGATTAAAGAAAAAGTAAGTTAGCTGCAAAATTGAGATCACATTCCAAGACTCCTTATTCTGTGGAGGGGTTCTCACAAAGCTTTATCATACACCAACCTTGCGTATATTCCAATGGTTTGAGCTACACTACTTCACTCAATAGTTTCCTTCTTTCTATCACAATCATCTGAAAGAGTTTAGCTAAGGGACTAAGAGCCCCTCACGACTGCCAAAATGTCCAGGGACTTGGCTCTGACATTATCTCTATGCACATTTATGTGTGTTTACCTGTCACCTCCATTTACGCCCATTTGGTTGCAGGGTCCTAATTTCGTGGCTGCTGTCTTCTACAGCACAGGCTGTCAGCAGGCATTGCCTGCGAACTCGGAAGTAATTTCAAAGACCCCCCTGCTGGGTCCATCAACTCAAATAAGCATTCTTCTAATCAGGAAAGTGGCACTTAGAACCACTTTGCTGACAATTAGCCAGGCAGAAGTCAACAAACATTTGCGTAATAGTGACAAGATGGCTTGTACTTCACATTGATAATCACCCCATCACCAACCAGCTGAACATGAGTAACTGTTCCCTATGTTATTTGGCCTTTGTCTGAAAAAATAACTCATTGCCCGTACATTGGCCTGTGAATGCTGGTGCATTAACTGGACCACTTATTTAGACATTATCTTTGAGCCTTAGTGAAGGGGTTTAACCTAATTTGTGAAATAAGAGAAGTGTATCAGATGTGATTGACCTGCCAGCTCTGTGATTCAGACACCAGTCAAAAGAAAATTCACTGCTGTAGTGGGTTTTAACCTACCCTTTTGGCTGTAAGCACGTGCACAAAGATTTTGTGGATTCATTGCCCATTTGACTAGCTTCTTGCAGGTGTTCTCTGGAAAAATTAAACATGGCTGGATGACACGTGGGCACAGGCAGAACATGACTTGAAATGATAATCAGGATTCTTGGGAGAGGGGTTTGCATCACAGAGTGGGACCTGGAAATTTATGTGGAACTTCCTCTCTGAGTTCTTAATGGAAATCAATGGGATGACAATTTGCTATGCAAATCTCCACCTTCCTAACAGCTTTCTCAGGAGCATACTAATGCATTGGGGGTGACAGGAGCTCTGCGGGAGCTGCCATTTCAGCAGCTAATTCACCTCAGTTGAGCCTGGATCAAGGGCAGGTTTTTAGGGCCTGTTGGGTGGGGTGCTAGCCTGAGGACAGCTGTAGTAGTCAGGAGGCAAGCACGAGGATTTCAGCAGAAGGAAAATGCCCCTGAGTCCATCTCCTTTCATCATATCCACCTCCACACGCCAGTCTTAGAAGTCTGGTGGCGTAAGTGAGTGGGCAGATTTCCCCACTCTTCCCAGCTCCCCACCAGCTTGAGCCCTGAGATGTGCGGATTGTTGGGGTAGGTAGTGTCATTAGTGCCTTTGCTATATGGCAGCTCCTTGAGACATGCGTGAGAGGCAGCAGGAAACTGGCATTGGATGGCATCCATGTGCTGCACAACTACCAGGTCAGCTCTGAAATAACAGCACCTCATGTTTTAATCTTATAAATTTATAAAAAATATCATAGCTCCTTTAAGAAATATGAACATCTTAAATACTGTTTGCAGTGCCCAGAATAAATTAAACATTAATTAGTATAATTCATATCAACATAAAATATTAATATTAAGACCAAAACAAAGCAGATGTAATTTGGGATAGGTTTCTATAAACCGTACTCCCTGTCCTAGAGTTCTAATAATCTTCCTCCTTACCCACTTCTCGCCCCCATCATGACTATCCCCAGTTCAGAATCCCTGGTCCTGAAGGGTACCAGAGTATGCCATCCCCAAATATACCTCTTTGGCATATGACTTATTTAAGGTAAAGGCCATTGAGAAACAGCAGATGCAGGAAAACTCTAAGAATAGGGCACACATTTTTCTTTTGTAAAGAAAATGCACATTTATAAAGCAATTTGCAAATGTGTCTGTCTCCCTCTCCCAACCAGGAAGGGGAGAACTTTTAGAAATACTTATCAATGGAGAGGCACAGACTTAAATCTGAACAACAAACCTTACTAAACAACCCCTGTTCACCATACTTTTCTTGGTCACCTTCTCATATCTTGCCTCCTTCACTCAGAATCCCAGAACCTCTTTTCTTTTGTTTAACTTAAGGTGGTATGAAAGCCTGAGTTCTAAACATTTCTTTGAGTTAATCATCACTGGGTGCTCCCATGTGTATGCATCATGCACTTCTGTTTGTTTTTCTCTTGTTAATCTGTCTTTTGCCAAATTTTTTTCCCTTCCCTATAAATGACAGAAAGTTAGCATTGGAGAGGGGAGAGACTTGAGTTGGGGAAACCAGCTAGGAAATAATTGCAATAGATCAGGCCTATACTCAAGTAATAGCAGTGGCTATAGAGGGGAGGGAGAATTATATTAAGGTAGAATTGACACTGTAAAAATCAGGTTCTTTAGTAACAAATGTGGCTAATAGCTATAACAAATTTAGAACTCCTAAGTATTAGAGATTTACCTGCTGTAGATCTGTTAGTAGGTTTCTCAGAACCCTTCGAGTCATGCGTGCCCCAGAGTCATAGCCTCCCCTGTTATTTTCTGCATAGAGCTGAAAGAGAGCTAGACACAGAAGCGGGGGAAGAAATCTTTAAATTAGATTCTTGCAATGCATCTTTGAAGAGTATGTGCTTTGAATTCTAAAGTTTATTTGTGGGTATGAAGGGGGAAAAGAAGAAACATTATTATTCTTGATGCTTTGTTTTCTATTTGGAAGGCTTCCCAAACCAGATAATTTGATAATTACTGAAAACCCATGCACATTTCAACCCCTTGATAATTCAGCACATCAATAATGAAGAACACGAGGTTGGTAAACAGCAGTGTGAGGCGAGTCCCAGCCTTTAAAGGAATAATAACCACTGGTGTCCGAAAAAACCCCTCTACAAATAAATACCAAGGATAACCAAGTTATGAATAATTAGAAAGCATAGGCTGATATCTTGAAAAATTCCAAGTTGTGCTGAGTACATGATGCACAAGAGCCATGTGGTTGGGATATAGAAGTGAGTGAAGAATATGAAGTGTTGGAGATTTGGAGTCCACTGCACCGCAGACACTCAGAACCCCTGTGTATCTCACCTCTGTATTTTGTAAGCGGACTATCCCCTGACAGGGCAATCAGGGCAGCGGCGGCAGGTACAAGCTTGAGAAACCCCGTTCCTGTGCTGCATGGCAACAAAACACAAAGAATGGGAAAGGCAGGGTTTTCTTGGTGAAGTGGTTTATAAAAACCCATAACTACGAGTGGAAACTTCGGCCATGGTGTTACAAGTTCAAGCTTTTCATGATAGGTTTTCCCGTATCTAGACTTTGACAGGACTAAGAATTAAATTTAAATATTTCTTCATTCATTCACTCATTCATTCATTCATTCATTCATTCATTCATTCATTCATTCAACGGATATTTCTTGGGTGCCTCCCCTGTGCTAAGCACCGTACTACATACGCACTGGGGATGGGAGGTCCACACCATCTTCATGGAGCAGGTAGTCTCACTCCCTTAGGATCTACACGCTTGGAAAGCAAACAACAGTGACAAGTACTGAATGGCAGGCAAAAGGAACAAAGGTCTCCATTTTAAAAAGCCCACCAGTTCACAGGCCCTCACTCAGAGCCTCGTCATTCTTTGCTCATTGGCTGTGCAGGTTCCAAACCTGTAAAACCATGTGTCTGAGGCAGGGGGATTGTCCCAAGCAGGCACTGATATTAGAAATGATGTCAAAAGCTAATCTTTAGGGAGACTGAAATCATAAAGAAAACTAACTTGAGAACATGTTGATATATTATTTGTGCAATTAAAAAATTAATGATAACCTAGAAAAGGAAATACTGTAGGGAATTCGCCAGCTGGCTAAACTGTGCTTGCCTCTGGGAGGAAGGCTTTCGGGTGATATTTCTTCTTTATTCTTTCCTGCACTTCCCAAGTATGCTATATTCACTATGACTTTTTAAAATTCCGTTCCAAGAGATGAGGCTTGCTAGGTCAAGACCACATAAGGTAAACAGAGTGAAGTGACACAGAAGAATGGTAAGCCCCAGACCCAGTGAAACACACAGAAACACACACACATACACACACACACACACACAACACTGATTGCAGGGCATGCATAATCAAGCCTTTGACATAGTCTAAACTGCTTTATAGGTGCAATGAACTGAATGTTTATGTCCCCCTGAAATTTATATGTTGAAATCCTAATCCCCAATAAAATGGAATTTGGAGGTGGAAATTTGGGAGATGATTTGATCACAAGAACAAACCCTTATGAGTTGGAATTGCATCCTTATAAAACAGACCCCAGAGAGCACCCTCGCCCCATCTGCCATGTGAGGACTCAGGGAGAAGATGGTCCTCTGTGAACTCAGAGCAGGTCCTCAGCAGATATTGGCTGGCACCTTGATTTGGACTTCCCAACCTCCAGAACTGTGAGAGATAAATGCTTGCAGTTTAAGCCGCCCAGTCAGTCTATGGGTTTTTTTTGTTGTTGTTGTCGCCCCAAATAGACTAAGACAATAGGTTAGCCATCCATGCACAGGTTATGCAACCTTAGCCCACTTACAAAACAAAACAAACAAAAACTAATAATTGGTTACAAAGACAATAAGTAAGGAAATGAGCTACCAGGGACTCAAGAGAAAGTGTAATTTCTCATATGTATAGATGTATATACTTGCCCTAGCCAAAGGCATGCATGGTCTCTAGAGTGGAAATAAGTCTGTCTAAGAGAAAAGTAATGTGACTTTCACTCCCCACCTTTTTTGCTACCCATGGGTCATTTATGTAAATAAAACTGATAAACATGTACTTTCTTTGTTCCCCACCTGAATTAGAAATACACTTGTGGAAAACAAAGAAACCTTTTTATATATCAAGCATTAAGTGAACATTAGACAACACCAAATGGTCAATGACCAGGGGCAACTAAACACTGTCCTTGAGATCACAGCATAACCTCCACGCCTCACCTGTCATACATCGCTGTGAGGAGGCTCAGAGTGAGCTCAGGAGCTCTGGGGTGTATTTGTCCTGGGTTTTCCATGCTGACTCTCTGAAACAGCTCCTGGAGGGCCTGGAAAAGCTCCTGCACGGGGAGAGGCCTGTCTCTTGCTTCCCAGAGACTTGGACATAGTAGGACGTGTTGAATCAGAGAACTGTCAATCAAGTCCACTGTAGAAAACGAAGAAAGAATTGAATCTTATTTTCTGATGGGAACAAAAGGCTTCATTCAAATAGAGCAAATGTCATCATCTAGCATTTAATTAAGACTTTTTTATTGCGGTTATTTCCTTGAAAGGAAATTAGATAGGACCCCCATTTGGAAATAAATCTTTTGTGTATAATTCAGGCATTGCTATTCTGACAATTGATTTGGTTTTGGAAAAGTACATCTGTTAGTAAAGCATAGTTATAACATTATTTCCAGTATAACCTCTAGGATGTTGCTTTATAGAATGAAATTGAAAGGAGAAAAAGTGAGAAACTTGAAAAATACCCTTGTGGTGAAAAGCTGAGGAAGCCATTTTTATGTTCGTTAAGTGGATTGAGCAAATTTACCTTTCATGTTCAAATATAGTTTTTTCCTGTCTGCAGCCGAGCTTCAGAAGGAATATTGTGTGTCAAAATGCAATTGCCTTAATTAAAAAACCCAATGATCTTTATAAAAGAGCAGTTGCTAAGTTTGGTATCAGACTCTTTAGGTCCTACCCTCAGTTCAGCAATATTTATTTTTTGATCTTGGCTCCATTAGTATTATTAACAGGGTAAGGCACTAAATAAAACCAAAGTTGCCTGCAAAAAAATAATGGTTTATTTCTTATATATTTTTACCACCTCTTAAAATTTTTACAAGGCAATGAGTATAAACGAAGGATAAAATAGAACTAACTCCATGGCTTCTTGCAGACAGAGGGTGACAGACAAAATTAATAAATACCCATTTGTATCATCTGAGAGATTGGGATGTCAGTGGCACCAAGAGCGGCTGGCATTGAAAATGCTTCAGCCTGTGAAGTGATAAAACCCTGTGCTTTTCTCTACTTCGTAAATCAACCTCACAGATAAGAAATCTAGCAAGTATAATAACATTTTTTATTTGTTCTCTGATACTGCTTTTAAGGGGAGAGTCTGAGGAAGTGAGGTATAGGTCTTGGAATGTGACTTTAATAAAAACCTGGTGGTGAAGCCTGCAAAGCCTTTTGTTGTTAATCGCAAAACCTATCACCTCGGCCTGGCATTGCTGCGCATGGGACATCCGTGTCTTCTGCTAAGAGTTCTGCTTTACAGCAAAACAGACAACACTGGCGCCCATTATTCTCACCCGAGATCTGCAGTGATGCTCTCCAGACCCTGCTGCCTGGAGCTCCTGGTATGCTTTATCTCTGTGTTTCAGACATTTTTTTGATTTTGAATTTTTGTTTGGATATCTTTTCCAGGTAGAACATTTCAATGACTAATTTTGTGTCTTGTTAATATTTCCCATGAATGTCATTTATGTGTACTGTATCTGATGCCAGGGATAGTAAAAAGTACAAAAAGGTACATCCTCAAATTATGTTGTTTGTACCTATCCATTAATAATAGAAGATTTTATAAACATTTGATGTTAACTTTCTTTAATGGGAGAAATTCGCCAGGAAAATAGCATAAGTTTTTAGTGAGCATATCCTGCCTTTTGTTGCTCCTTGGGATAATAAATAATAGTTATAAGTGAGTTTATTTGTTTACATCATTGATTTAATTATTATTATTATTTTTTTTAGCCAAGAATCCTTTCTTCAAAGGACCCTTATGCAGAAATGCAGTATGGAAAATAGAGACATGCAGAGCTGCTCTAGTTGAGGAGATGATCTTTTGGGTTTTCCTGGCTTGCCTGTACTTCCTTTCCCACCTTGCTAACCCTTTCATGCCCTACTTCACAACCACATGCACTTTGTGAAGCACCTTTTGAAACCCACTGGTCTATATAATTTATGGTAGAAAGTAAACTATAAAAAAATGGAAACTTCAGGAGAAATGCCATGTATATAACGCAGCTTCTTTTATGTCTGATGTGGTAAATGTCATTAATCATTTCACGTGAAGTAATTTTTTAAATGTAATGCAGAATTTATTAGACATCAATAACTTTAGATATGCCAAATGCTTGTTGTTTTTCACAGCCAGGACCCAATTTATTTCATTTTGAGGAATTTTTATGGGACAAATGTTTTTACTATATTTTATCTAGATGACAATAAAAGAAAAGAAAATCATAGCATTCAATCAGGTATAAATTTAATGCAAAGAGCTGTTCTCAAGGGAATTCTCAAGATAGTTTTAAAATTTACGGCCCAACTAGACTGAAGAACAAAAGGACAGCAGCTTGTCTGTTCCACTTCCCCCAATTCCCCAGTGTTGTTCTCTCCCCCAATTCCCCAATAAAAATCTTTAAAAAAATAAAAAATAAATAAATAAATAAAATTTACGGCCCAAGGATTATTCATCTGAATCTACTTTTGCCTGTTCAGAGAGACAGAAGAGGTACAACTTGAAAATGCAAATTGTATGTGGTAGAAGGAATTTAAATTTTTCATACTTAAATCTACAAGTACAGATTCTAAACTAACTGATTTTGTAATTTTATTTTGGATTACTATTGGTATCCTGAAAAAAACCAAAAAACCAAAAAGCTTTTTGCAGAAACCAAATAAAAAAAAATTCCTCATCCAAAAATCATTTTCTATTTCAGTTATTGAATCTATCCTTGGGTTGAACACGCGTGGTATCCCCTCCTCCCTCCGTCTTCTCTGTGACAAATGCGGGAAATGCACAGATCAAGCGTCCTAGAGTCTGGCAGTCACTAACGTGAGTTTTTGTTTTCTCTGTGACTTTTACATTGCACACCAGGACCAGATTATTTCAAAGGTTTCAGAGATCTATACTTACAGTGACACATGCTTTGAACTGATCGTAATTTGAAGGCTGTTCTGTAAATGGAAGTCTCAATACTATTAGGAGCATCTGTAAAGAAAACATGAAATAACATGGATAAAGGACCATCTCATTAGATAACTCCCACATCCTGAATGGCAACCCTAGAGATCATTCAGCCCCACTTTATTTTGCAAGTGAAAAAATTAAGGCCTAGAGCTCTCTTGCCTACCTGGTGACAAATGATAATGGTCTACAGCACCCTAGGTGGCAGGTGACCCTAGACTCACCTTCCCTGTCCACCAAATTAAGGAATCCACCAAAATGGGAGGAGTACTCCTCCACAAACCTGTCCACTTTTTATATAAAAAGGAAATGACTTTATGAAACAAATAGGATAAAAAAATACTGTAGAATATAAACTCAATTTGTTAATATACTCTAGTCCTATACACACACATGTATTTATGCATATATAAAAAGTGACTCAAAATACGTCCATTCATTCATTTAGCAAATATTTATTGAGCTCTCACTAGATGGCCCTGGAAACATAGCAGTGAACAAAACAGATAACAATCCCCACCATGCAGAGCTTAATTTCTACTGGCATTCACCAAATTGGTAACAGTGGGTATCTCTGAGTGCTTGAATTCTTAGTGCTGATATTTATTTTCTTTCTACTTGTTGATATCACCTAAATTTCTAAAAAAGTGCATATGTTATTTTTATAATCAGAAAATAATTCTTAATATACCTTCTTTTGAGGGTCACTACCATCAGCATCACTACAACAATGGCTAGCATTTCTGAGCTCTTACCAGGCACTGAGTGTTTATTTACACATTTCCCTGTGGAGAAGAGAAAGCTCTGGAGCCTTACTTAGTTCCTTTTTCTGTTGGGGAAATTGGTTTATTTTTTGATCTTCAGTTTCCTTATCAGATAAATAGGGCTTATAATACATTCCTCATAAGATATTTTCATGATTTAAATAAGAAAATATAGTCAATATAATTACTAAATTATTATTGAGGACCGACAGTTTAAATTTGTTTCATTGATCTTCCAAATTTGATTTTCATTTAGTTTGAGACTTTCATTTAGTTTAAAATCTCACAACAGAGCTTTTTGTTACCTAAAACTGAAATAATCAGTCTTTATATTTAGAAAAATTAAAATCTAAAAGAATACCATTGACCACTGAGCTCATATGATTTATTTTATCTAGACTTAAAATTCTCAAAACTACAAATTTAGGAAATATTTCTTGAATTTCTACGATGTGCCAGGCTTTGCTTCTGGAGAGGTTTATAGTTAAGTCATCATAAAATCGCTATTCATATTTATTAATTTATTCATTAATTTGCTACACACAAACACACACACACACACACACACACGCCACCCAAGATCTGAGTGTCCATTAGGTCTCAGGCACTATGGTGAGTACTGAGGACATTAAGGTGAATCAGGAGTTCTCAATGTCAAGACAGAGACAGGCACCCTGGTGCCATGTTCTATTGTATAACAGGGCTAAACACAAAGGGAAGCATACTGAAGATTGCTCAGGGGAGGTGAAATGAGAGTTGGTTCTTGAAGGAGAAGTAGGGAATTTTCAGGAGATTAAGTGGGATGAAGGGTTTGATGTCACAAGTCTAGGGAAGAGCACGTGCAAAGGCACAAGGATATGAGGATAATGGGGGTCAGTATGACTGGCAGGTGTAGGAGAGACTTGGTTGGTCTGAGTTCATTAGAGAGCTTGCATTCTCTTGAAGGCATCAGGGATTGATACATACTCTATAAAGCTCCTTCCAGTGGTTGTGAAGAATGAATTGAGGGTGAGACCAGAAGCAAGAATCTATCTCAGTCATTCAGGTCCAGAGGATAAAATTGATGATGATTTAGCCTTAAGACAAATGTAATGAATTTTAAGAAAAATAGAAGAATTACAGAATTCTCTGACCCATTATACAATAAAACTAGTAATACTCAATAAAAAGATAAAAAATATTTACCATTGTGAAAAATGTTTTAAATTTCTTCTGTCATGTGGTCAAAGAGGAAATCAAAACTGAAATTAAACACTATTTAGAGGATTAAAAAATAAGGAAAGACTTACTGAATATCAATGCCAAAATTAACTTGGCTAAAAATCAGAATAGCAGTAGAATTGGGAAATGAAACCAAAAACTGGGTTTTTGGAAAGAAAATTTAAACAAACACTAGGAAAGAGAAGAAGAAAAATATAAATCATTAGAAATGAGAAAGGATTTATGTTTACAGATACAGAATATATTTTAAAATAACAAAACTATGTAAATTTTATGCCAACAATTTAGAAACATAGATGAAATAGAAAATAGAAATAATAAAAATATACTTAAAAATTAAAAGACTAATAACTACCGACTTTTTTTTTAAAAAAAGGAAAACTGCCATCAAAGATAAACAACATAAGTAGGGATAGTTTTACAGGTGAATTCCTTTAAACTTTCAAGAAATGGGAATCCCTATGTTACTCAACTATTGGAAAAACTCAGAAACTTCCCAATTAATTTTAGAAGGCTAGTATAACTGCAATACCAAAACTTGATAATGTTTCACTGTGATTATTATTATTGAGAGAAAAGCAGTTGAATTCTGAGTTGAGACTTTGAGGGAAATTGGTATAATTGGCCAAGAAAATCCCTGAATATAGTTCTGTTCCAACATCAGCTCAAAAGTCTAAAGTCTAAAGTCTGAAGTCTCATTTAAATACCATCTAAATCTCTCTCTATGTCATATATATATACCGGGGTGCCAAAAAATGTATACACATGACTTGTTTTCATCTTTTGTTATCAGTATATATTGAATATTACAGTTTTAATACAGTTTTTTTCCTTTCTTAAAATGTGTATACATTTTTTGGCACCCTCTGTATATAATCTTATTTAGGATTAAAGGAAAGATACTACATAAAATACTAGCAAAAATTTTCAAGGACACATTAAAGAATAACGTTCAATAATATGGAAAGATTTATTCAGGAATTGTTCAACAGCTAATTAATATAGCAAAAGAGAGAAAAAAAGATGCGCAACCATTAGATTCTCCAATACATTGGTAAAATTCACCAGTCATTCTAATTTTGAAAATAATACTTAATCTAGGACTAGAGGAAACATTCTAAAATGTCAGAAATAAATAGCAAATTTCATATAAAAAAAGTAATAAACAAAAGAAATCCTTGTTATAGTCAGAAAAAAGTCAAGAACGCTTCTGTATCATCACTATGATTCAAAACTGAAGCAGAAATATAAAACTAGGGCATCAGGGCCACCACCGTCCCCTCAACATTGTGGCAGACAGGGCAGGGCCCCCTTGACAGACCTTGTCAAGATAGCCCTCTGGGAAGTCCATTGGAGCTGGCAAATAATAATGAAATTGAAACTTATTTGCTGTTCTTATTTTGGAATTCTAATCTACAAAAATAAATAAAAATAAGAGGTATAAATATTAGAAAGGAAGAGATTTACAATGATCTGATTGCCTATCTACCTACATAATTCCTAAGGGTTATCTGCAAGCTGGCTGGATTTGGGATGATTGTTCAAGAATCAGTAACTTCTCTTTATATCAATAGTTTTCAAACTTTAGCCTGGATTGGATTTACCTCCAGGGCCCATGAAACAGATTGCTGTGCTGGGCCTCAGTTCCAGAGTCCTAAAGATGGCCTGGGAATTGCATTTCTAACAAGTGCCAGGCAATCCCGATGCTTTTAGTCGAAGAACTATACTTTGAGGACCACTGCTTTATACCAATAATACTCAGTGAGAATACATAATTTTAAACATCTATAAAGTGCCTAGAGTAAGCTGAACAATTAATGTGCAAGGCCTTATAGAGCTATCAAAAGATGTTAGAGATAGTACAAATAAATGAAGAGATCTATTTTCTTTATTCCTGGATATTCTTGAATAGGTCATAATTTGGGAACGCTAGACCGGAGCCAATGAGTTCCTCATGGTGGGGGAAAGCAGCTTAAGGAGAGTTCCCAGCTGTGGAGGAGTGGTTTCTAGGTTTGCCTTTATTACCGGTTCCCTGAGTGGAGGGAATGGCTGCATGGTGTAACCAGGGAGACCAGACACCAGGCTTGGCAAGGATTTCTGGGTCCAATGTTGACGTGGAGTATCCCATTTCTTCAAGTGGACCCAAAAGCCAAAGGCAAAAAGCGTACATAGCAAGTGGTGGCCACGATGGCCCTTCAGACCAGATATTCTGAACACTTCAGACCACTCCAAGTTCAGGATAAAAGCCTTAGAGGTTTCTGTCTGTCTCAAAGGGATGACTTCTTCCCAAACTTAACTCAGTCTAAATTTCATACCAAGCTATAGTGACTTTAGTTTGGTTTGGAAAAGGATGTTTGTTGCCCTTGAGTGTTGTGGGGTAAAGTCCTATCTGTTACTCATTAGGGGTGTTGAGTGCCAGGCACTGTGCTATGCCACTCAGGGATTACAGTGCCCTCCGGTCAGACCCCTCCTAGAGGAGTAAGAGCACACCAAGGCCTCTCCCTAAACATATATCAATTCAATGATCAATACATGATCCTAAGTCAAAGGGCCTACCTCAGGTGAATGTGGGCTGTGCCTAAAAATGTCACCATAACAATCTTGTTTAAGAACCCTCCACGCCTTTTTAAAAAATTTTCCTGCTTTGAACAGGTGCAACTACATCAAAGAACCTACAAGTTGCTTTAAGTCTTTTGTTATTTAATATTTCCTTATATTTTTAAAAATGCTTAGTTTTCAGATACGAGTTCAATGTTAGAGCATGGGAGAAGTCAGAAATATCCCTGCCCTATGTCCAGAGAAGTACAACAAAGTGAGCGGAAGGATATCAGTGTGGAAATAATTTATGAAAGCATAATGCCCAACGTTTTTTTTTTTTCTCCTGGAAATTGGCCCATTTTTTCGTGCCGTGGTTCCTCTCAGATGCACCAAATGAATACAGAAAATCAGCAAACTAGGGGCTCTGCGGGCTCCCAGATGCTGCTCTTGGTGGAAGAGCAGTTCTGTAGCTGCTCTACCATCTGGCCCATCACACTCCTGTCAAATTATGTTTTGCAGTGTCATCTGATGAAGTTATGCAGCATAACACGGCAAGCTGTGATATAGGACAACATGGAAAATGAATGTGCATCCCAGGTGATTCACTACCAGCCCTGCTTCAAGGCTCCTTCTTCTCCCACCCCCTCCCCCCCGCTGGTGGGAGAAAACTCAAGAAAGGAAGAAAATGCTGTATGTATACATCAGCCCAAAGGTATGAACAACATAGTTTGAAATGCTTAAGGAACGAACAACGCAAGCTGCATAGGGTCTTGTTCATGGAAGCATTTTGACTGGGAAATGTGTTGTGCTTTAAATAATTCCTTATTTTTTAACCAAACCAATATGTGCCATTTCCTATAGACACTGAGAATGTAATAAAACCTCTTTCAACTGTCCATCATCTAGATTGATGATGCAGAAATAGATATTTTAGGTCAGCGGTCCTCAAAGTGTGGTCCCAGGTGAGCAGCATCAGTACCAAATGGGCACTTGTTAGAAAGGCACGTTCTCGGACCCCTCCCCAGACCTACTGGGTCACAACCTATGGAAGTGAAGTCCAGCATTTTAACAAACCCTCCAGGTGATTCTGACACACACTAAATTTGAAAAACATTCCTTTAGGGAGAGAAAATTGGGTTTTGGATGGATTATCGATTGCTTCGTGTTATATTTATTAATATGAGGGTCGAAATTTGGGAAACCCAAAGATAATTTGAATTACTCATAATGCTGTTTTAGATAAATAACTTGAGAAATTACAGAATTTTGTATAAAACAAGTAAAATTAACAATCTAGATTTTAGCTAGGGGACTAAGGCTGCAACCAGATCCAGCCATAAAAACGTCACAGGCAGTCCTGGGCCTATGGCGGCATTCAGAGATGTTGGAAGAAGGGGGAATTCGTTTCTTTATACCCATTGACAAATATTCATATAGTGACAACTGTGAGACCTTTCTCTTAACTCTGGGCCTACACAGTATGGTGAATTTACCCCTGACATTAAAATAGCTACAGTGATGTCATTGTGACAGTAAACTATGAAGATAATTTAAAAATAAGATAAGCCACTTTTTGTAATTAAAATGTAATTATATTGAGACCAGGCCTTTTGTGAAATTATTTTTGGTGCTTTGGAGACAACAGACCAAATACTCTTAGGTATATTATAAATTCCTGTTTAGAAGAAAGTCTTTCTAATCGCTCAGTAGTTTCCTTTTTAGCCATCAATTTACCAAACGTCTTGCTCGGCTGCAACCCAGGAGTCTGAAACCACAACATCTGTGCCTGATTTTTTTGTTTACAAACTGTGCTCAGTAACTTGACAATAAGACTCACCTTGTTTATCTGGGTCCATTTCAGGAATTTCTTGGAATGACAGATGGCAAGAGTGTCCTCCTAACTGGAAATGAAGCAATATTTTAAGCAGAAGGTTGGGGGCCAGGGAACAAAAAGGCAACGAACAGTCATTTCACCAGTAGAACAAGAATCTGAGGTGTTTAGGGGGACTCTGAAGTCTCTTGGGAGGATAAAAATAAAGAACATAGGGGCTTCTTACACTGGTTACTTCTGGGAATTTAGAGCTGTACCTCAGAAACTGAGAACAGCTCCTGAAACTAATACTGTGAATACCTAGCACTTTCGAGGCATGAAGAGTGAACTAAATTCTCACCTCAAGAACATGTAAATTTACTTGAATTTTGAAGGACAAAATTTGAAGCTTTCAACGCTTACATTTCTAATATCACTCACTATGCTATACAATTCTACATGTTAAATTTCTGACAAGTACCATCCATTTAAACACCTTATCACACACATGTGTATGTGTATATAAAGAATTCAGTTAATATTTCTAAAAAAGTAGTAAATCAGCTACCTGTTGTTTCATGTTGCAACTATTGTTCAAACTCAATGTATATACAAATATATGTTCGCTTTCAACAAAATAATGGGTTATGCTGTAAGAAAACCTTATACAATTCTTAAAAAAGACATTTTTCATCATGAGTGGTTGAAAACTGTTTTATAAAGTTACACAATAATTAAATTTAAATAGTACTTTCTCCCCTCTTCTAATGAATGAATTAAGGCACAAATTATTGGACAAATAAGTAACATTTTAAGAAGAGAGAAACTAAAGCAAAAGGAGATTACATTTGTTCTTTAAAAATATGATAGCAATAGTGATAATTCCAGACTTGTAAAAACTAGAAAGGTCTGAAATACACTCAAGTAAGATTTGTTTTGAAAAGTTGTAGTAAAGGGAAATCAGGTTAGAACTCTTGTTAGTGTTGACATGCCCCAAGCTCTTCCTGATGTCCCCAGGTAGGGCAGAAGGGGCCAGTCCCCCATCCCATCAACAGTACAGCTGGAGACACAATCCCTCTGCCTCCACACCACGCTCTTACCTTGCTTAGTTTTCTTGGAGAAGCATTTTAGTAAAACATTCTGTATAAATTACACATCAGTTTTGGAAGAGGGAAAAGCTGAGTAATAACAGATTTCCAGGTGTGGCATTCCTAAGGAGATTGGATGTCTTGTCCTGACTGCCCGGCAATTGCATGCAAAACAGAGGCATTGAGTCTACACTGTATTTTAAAGGCTCGCAGAAGTGCATTCATTAGTAATAAAGATCTTGAATAATTTAAGGCCACTCCGACATCTCTGTTTCAAAGGGCTATTTCCGTATTAATTTCGTGTGTAAGAGAGGCAAGTTAAATATCTTCTGAGTGCTATGGAGACGAGGGGTTACCACAGAGATTAGGACACAGTAAGAAGGGCTTCACATCCCAGGAAACTGCCACCTTTCTAACTGTCCCAGAGAAGAGCGACTTAGGAACATAATCTGATTTATTTGATTAATTCTTTTACAAATACAGAGGTATGGTTGCACGTTTTTAAAAAGCACCAGATATAATGCAAATCTTCAAAATAATAATAATAATAATGTGTTACAAAGGCACATTTCCTCTTAAGTTTTAAGTATAATCTGAAAATGTAGTTTTAAAGAAGTTCAGATAAAAAAAAATGCGTTCTAATCCTAACAGCGCAAACTATGTCACATGAACCAAATGTATTAGAATTTCACCACTAATATCTTTAGGCTGCCGAGGAGATACGGAGTTAATTTTTTTTTAAATTAAAGTTTATTGGGGTGACAATTGTTTGCAAAGTTACATAGATTTAAGGTGTACAATTCTGTAATACATCATCTATATATCACATTGTGTGTTCACCACCCAGAGTCAGTTCTCTTTCCATCACCATATATTTGATCCCCTTTACCCTCATCTACCACCCCCCTCCCCTCTTACCCTCTGGTAACCACTAAACTATTGTCTGAATCTATGAGTTCTGTCAATTTTAACATGTCTTTCAAGGGTTAGAGGCCAAAGCACAGGCGTAATACTCCATGAGCACTACCTGGAGAGCCAGAATGGCTGGGAGTCCATGGTCCCAGTTAAAGCATCTAAACAATTACAATTAAGTGGTCACTAACCCACCCCAGGATGTCCCATAATAAAAACCTGCTTTGAAAAGTAAGCATGATACCCAAGAATAGCCAATTTATTCCTTTCTTTTTGAAAAGTATTAGTATCACAGTATTGGTTTCTTAAAAACTGAAACTTGGGACATGTCAAAATACGAAACTTGGGACATTTAAAACAATGAAAATTGATTTTGTGATGGGGCAAAAATGAGATCAAGTGGAGGAGGTAACTCACCTTTCTCTGTATAAGCCTATTGATTCTTTGGGAGCAGATAAGACTGCGTAGGACGAGACCAAGTCTATCTCACATGAAACCTATACCTGGGTGCTGCAGACTGAAAGTTGAAATCATATTTGGAATTTTTATATTCCATTATATCTGCATCAAGATATATCTGAGGTACTGGCAATAGAGGGAGGTTGGAATGTTTTTCCTGAATGCTGCCATGTTGAGATTTGAGCAGATCTCTGGCATTGATTATGTAAATCAAGAATCATGATAGTAAAAAACAATAAAATAGAACAATTATAACATACTGTAATAAAAGTTATGTGAATGTGATCTCTCTCTCTCTCTCAAAATATCTTATAGTCCTATACCAACCTTTTCACGTAAAGCAAGCACTTTATGGCTTCTCTTGTCATATCTGAATTGCCAGCATCATTACTCTTGTGCTTTGGGCCATTATTAAATAAAATAAGGGTGATTTGAACACAAGCACTGTGATACTACAACAGTTGCTCTGATAACCAAGATGGCCACTAAGTGGTTAATGGGCACACAGTGTGGAGACACCAGACAATGGGATGATTCGTGTCCCCGGAGAGATGGAGTGGGATGGTTCCAGATTACTAGGTAGAGTGCACAATTTACAACTTAGGAATTTATTCTGAAATTTTCCATTTAATATTTTCATACTGCAGTTGACCACAGGAAACTGAGATGAAGGAAAAGGAAATCATAGATAAGGGGGGACAACTGTACTTTCCTCCTGGTGTAATTCCATATCTTACACTAAGCTGGGACAAATGTGTGGTGGTAGGTACAGGGATGCAAATCAGTTCGCTCTGCTCTCTATGGGAGTCTCTCCTATGGGAGTCTCTCCTAGAGCATCCTGGTCATCCTACAGTGGTTCAAACATCTGATAGCTCATATTCATGCTGGAAAGTACAGCCTGTTGGGGATGGGGCTCAGTGTTTGCTACAGTGTCCCTAAAAAGGAGAAACTCTGCCCACGTTTCTCTCTAGCATCTTCCCAGATCTCCACCTATTGGAGAAGCAGCTGATTGATTGGTCAGGGCTTGACATCCACTGGGAAGAGTTCCACTAAGGGGTAGGGTAGCTGCCTTGAAAGGTGATGTGTGTTCTTGGTTGCATTTTCTGTTCCCGCTTTTCCACCTGGTTCCTGTTGATAAGTGATTGGCATATCTGATTCAGGGGGAATGGGACAGAAAGCTCTGCTTGGGTTTCTTGGTTTGAGTCATATCTTTCAATCTTGCTCAGTGTCACCATGAAGCAGGCCTGCATGTGGGAAGGCAACTGTCATGTGCCCAGCTATGTAGAGAGCATCAGGCGTCTTCCTATCCAGTGATTGTTCTTGGTGGTCACACTCCTTTGATTGAGGTCCCCACAAAGAGAGGTGGGGAATAGTAGGATTAAGGCATAAAACCTTACTCAAAGTCTTTCACACAGACATACCTTATGATTTCTTCATAATAACATCAAATGAGGTGCTGACTTTGGAAACAAGCAAAAGTTAATTATGGTTTCAAATCATGATGGTGTAGAATGTAGCAGCATCAAAAATTTCACTGAATTTTCAGAAAGCTAGTTATACTTTAAAACCTATTTAAAACTACAGAGAAAGCACAGATATCAGCAGTTCTTAACATGACTCCTGGGCTCTCAAAAATTCCTAATTGGCACTTGAAAAGGGTCCTATTAATTGAAAAATACATGAGCATATTGATTTGACTACTACTTAATAAAAGACTGTAATTTTACTTAAATCATGCAATTATATTGTAAAAATAAAATGCTTTTCTTTCAACATCCAGACCACATCTGGTGTCAAGAAACAGAAACTTATTCAATCTAAGTTAAAGTAAAAATATAATTTATTGTAAAGATAATTATGTCAAGCAAATCCAAGGAAAGACAGTGCACATCTAGGTCTTATGAAGGTGGTGAACCTGACCAGCTCTGACGACCTCACAGGCAGAACTTGGTGGCCTTTTCTAGTTCACTGCCATTACCATCACTCAGACACCAACTTACTCATCCATTTTTTTCAGTTTAAATTTTTTTTAGAGATCAAGAGACTGTCTGATTGGTTCTCCTGGAGTAAGGCGTGTCTCTTCTGGCCCAATCAGTTGAGTCCAACGTGGTAAGGAAACCTAAGCAAACCTGGCCACCTAGGCCAGGTACAGCCTATCGGAGGAAGAAGTTTCTCTCTGAAGGATGTATGAGTAAGGACGCAGAGACTGACAAATCTATTTTGTTTTAGTTCAAAAATGATCAATTGACCCCAAACCATTTGTGAGAAAATGCACTAATAAACATACATGAGCGGACACACAAAATAGTTGAACTCTGATGTTTGTGTGTGTGTGCAGTCACTTATTTGTCTAGCATAATATTATCTGAGACTGAAGTAAATCTTTCAAATTATTCTTCCCTAAGTACAGACATTTATGGGTCTTTCTATATTTATTGTAATATCAAATAATTTTGTAGTTGTTCTAATCTGATCTGCTACTGTTCCACAGTTTTGCCTTCAGAGTCTGTAAAAGAAAGAAAAATGCAAAGATGTAATAATTTAAAGAATACATCAGTACATTTATTTTTAGTATCTTTGCTCTTGCTCCCCTTTGCTTTTGTTTACCAGATTCCTGTAATCAATCTGATTCAATAGCTGAGGGAGTGAGTGTGTGTGAAGGGGTCTTTTGAGGGAAAGTGAACCACAAGCCCATCATTAGACCTTCATCTATTTCTATGTGCAGGCTGTCTTCGCTCCTTTGCTTCTCATTCGAGTTTGTTTGCAGGTATATTGTCAGTTCCATTTCCTCTCTTGGTCCTGCCTCTTCTGTATGCATCGATTCTAATTCCCCATGGTTAGCCCCACTCCAAAACCTGTCATATTGTTCATTTTCAGAATGGAAGGGGCAATGGATTTATTCATTTTAATGGACATTTAAATAAAAATGTGGAGGCATGAGTGAATATCCTGATTGGTCAATGACAAAGAAATCCACACCAGCCTGTTTTCATAAAATATCAGGACAGCTCAATTATGTACTTTGAAAATCTGTGCCCATTTCCTTATTCATTCTGAGGGAAGGATTTGGTTGTCACTGTCATAGTCCTGGTTATAAAAATAGAAAGCTAGGTTCTAGGCAAGTCAGCAAGCAAGGCTGATCCCTGGGAATGTGGGAGGGGGGAGGGTTTGAAAAGTACCGTATCACAGGGACACAATCCCTTCTACCAGTTTCATTTATAAAATAAGAAAAGACTAGAGTTTTGTGTACAATTTATCATTTATGAGTTCTTGACTGAGTGGCTTGTCAGAGTTGGCTTGAGGAATCAGATCGGAGAAATCCACTGCAGTAAATAGAGAATTAAAAGAACAGAGTTTTTAGGATTTAAAGCACACTTAGTTTTGCAGTGATTCTCATTTTCTCCTATCTTGTTCTTTCCACTCCCAATTTCTCGGGACGCCTTGCTCTCTTTGGGAGTTGAAGATGCCAGGCCACTTTTTACATGGAGTCTCAACCCACGACAGTGGCTTATCTACGGCGCTGCGGGCAACATAAGCAAGCAGATGTCCAGCCAAACAGCTCAGTGCAGCATCTTTCTATCATCCTCCCTATGGAGTCTTGGTCCCCACAATACAGATCACTAGGCAATTTTTCAGTGCCTGTCAGCTCCCTCCCATACAGAGAGTTTCAGGTGCAGAAGCAGTAAAAATAGGAACAGTTTCGATTAGTATTATTTTTTGAATATATGATTTAGCAAATATATAAGCTTCTACAATATTAACCACATAAATACTAACAAGTATTATGTAAATATATTTATATTTTACACATACATACATATACATACACACATACATATAAGATGTTCTAAGTTGTGTGTGTGTGTGTGTGTGTGTGTGTGTGTGTGTGTATTTAAAGAGAGAGAGTCAGAGAGAGAGAGAAATTCCTAGATTTTCTCTGTCAGAGAGAATTCTAACTTGGCCTTCTCAGGCCCTTCCTCTCAGCCACCTTCTGAGGTAGATCCTGACTTGCCATGTCAGCCATTTGGCACCTTGGAATGAGGGATGGAGAAGAAAGCGGGGGGGAAAGTAGGAAGGATGAACACAAGGGCCAAAGCTGAGGTTAGACTATTTGGGGAGAGTTTGAGGTTAAGTATGACACGAAAGCAGTTTTGGTATTATAAAAAATTTTTGTTGATGTTTTAATCCCTCCTTTAAAGTGTTTATGAATTATAAGAAAAGACATGGAGTTACTTCAAAATTACTTCAATTGCTGGACTACATTCTTTTGACCCCAATATCATTCTCTGAGATGGGACAGGATGAGTTATGGCTCTTAGCAGAGATTGTTTATAACTCGATTGACTTAGCATCTGGCATAACTAGATCTTTTTCTTTCTCTTGGATTAGATCAAAATATGTGCTACCTTTATGTACTGAAGCCAAAACTAGATAAAACATGTTGGGTTTAACTAACAACCTGTGACATGTTCTAAGTTGATGTTTTTAAACTTTGTTGACCATGACCCACAGTAAAAAATGCATTTTGCATTATAGCCCAGTACATGAACTTCTGTGCATATAACGAAACAAAAAGTTACATAAAACAGTATCTACTCATTTCCAAACTATTTTTATCCTTTCCTTATCTTTTCTACTTTTTTTCTTTCTAGTCTAGTTCATTGTAAAAAAATTCTGGTCTCCTGACTTTCCATTATTAATTTTATTCTAGTTCAAAGAAAAATGCTAGTTATTAAATTGATTTTATGACCCACTAAAATTTTCACAACCCACCTAACCCACAATGTGGAAAGTATAATGTTATATTTGATTCTAATGCTCATCCAACAAATTGTCCCCCAAACAACCTGAAATCAATCCCATTTTTTTCTACTTTATCACCACTAAAGTTCTTTAGGCTGTAGAAGATTATAACATAGTAGAGGGTCTAAGAACCTAAATTTTCAATTAACAGCTTAAATCGTTCCAAAGTAAAGACTCAGGAATACATATTCTACAATTTGGCTTCTATTTCTCTGTCCTGGAAAGCTGCCAGTCATCTTCTTCATGATAGATCTTATCTCAGATCTCTCATAAGAGCCTTACTGCCCTCCGTCCTTTCTTTGAGAACTGCACCAGTATACTGAGTATAATACCAGTTGGACCAACTGGCATAATAGTGCTACAGATACCTAGAGATAAAGTGTAACTGACTGGGCCTCTTAAGCTATGAGTATCTACTCTAGCTGGGACTGACTTTACCACGCTCTCTGGACAGTGATTTGGCCTGATTGCTCACCTTTTAGGGGGCCAATGATAAAGCAGACTGGTCCTCTAAGCCTGATCCCATCTATTTTATGCTTTGTCCCACCACCTACCAGCCATATTGCTGAGCTCCCAACCAACCATTCAGC